GCTCTTCGTCTGTGGGCTCTTGCAAGGGTTGCGGGAACAAACGATGTCTGACTTGCAAACAAATACTGGTTACCCAGACTTTTAACAGTCACTCCACTGGTACAGAATACACCATATTTTGCAATGTTAATTGCAAGACTACAAATGTTGTGTATCTCCTACAGTGTAAATGTGGTAAACAGTATGTTGGCGAGTCAGAACAGCCGTTTCACAAACGAATGAACGGTCATCGTAGCGACTACCAATGCAAGCCAGACCTCCCTCTCAGTCGACATTTGAGATCCCCTGGCCACACTAAGGCAGATCTCAATCGACTGACCTTTACAATCATTGACCACAACTCTGCTTGGTCTAGGGAGGATAGACTCACTCGGGAAAGATTTTGGATAAGAACATTAACAACTTTGGCACCAAATGGGATAAATGAAAAGATGTAGTTCGACTCCATGCAGTGCTTCACATTTGGGTTATATTACTTATTATTACAGTCTCTGTTTCTATTTCTTTACTTTACTCATCTCTAAATCTGTTGACTATACCAATTTAAATTGCTTAATTTTTTGAGGGATGTAAAAGTGCCAAGCCACGTTCAACTAGTTAACCTTAGTCAAAATGTATTATCATATTTTAACGGCCGTTTGTTTGCGATGTTTAAATACGCAGACTCTGTTGTAACTACTCTACCGTTGTCAAATTTGAAATATTTACAAATTTAGATCGTTCAGTGCTGTTTATTTGGAATTCTTATTGACGCAATCGTTCTTGTAACATCATAACTGTCGTCACCGTTAAAGCTTTAGAATTGTGCTAGTTCATATCGCACATTATTATTTGTATTTAAAGCATATATTTGAACTCTCTGCTGTAATTAGTCATATAACCTATGTCGTGTTTAACACATATTTAGAATTGTGCAAGCGTCTTACCTGATGTTCGGTTTGACTTTTTTATTGTATAAATTTCAAGATTATTATAGTTTAATTTAAGTAGGCTGAAATATGATTCATTCAACATCACAATCATATTTACTGATGAAGGATATCTGTTATCCGAAATATTTATAAATAATTACATTTATAGTTCCTTTTTTTGTTATTGGTGTTGTTGTGTACACTTTTTAGGCGTTTATATATTATATTTTGTTTGTGATTATGTTCATAGATATACATAGACTTGATTAATGTGTAATGCTACTTTTAACATTCATAGAAAGACTGGTTTTGTGTTGCCTGGTACACAAAATGAGACAGAATAAACCAAGGGGGAATAAAAATCAAAAGTTGAGGAAACACAGACAACACTATAAGTAAAGAAAACACGACAAAAACACACACAAAAAGCAACAAAATAATATACAGAAAACTGGAAACTGAACAAAAGTAAAATAACAAAAATGCGGAACTCCAAGGAAAATTAAAAACGGAAAGTCCTTTATCAATTGGCAAAATCAAAAGCTCAAACGCATCAAACGAATGGAAAACAACTGTAATACTCCTGACTTGGTAAAGGCATTTCCTTATATAGAAAAAAGTGGATTAAAGCTGGTTTTATAGCTAACTAAACCTTTCACTTCTCACAACATGAACACCAGCCAAATCCAGGTGATCTTATGTGCACTGGACGGGTAAGAAAATCCTGCTCCACTAGTGGGATGTGTTTTATGACAAATGAGAAGTTCTATTTTGGTGTTGTCATACAACAGGGAAAGAGGACAGGATTGTGGCTACGCATTTGAAATATTTCCATCGTCATCTGTCATGATGAGATAGACAAATCACCCGGTTACGTTATTTTAGTTTTATAGTTTACCGGTATGTATAAGCAACCTTAGAAAAGAAACGCAGCTCCGACGTTGTAATGAAACGACATTATTTTCACACATTGGTTATACGCCTTATTTTTAGCCTGGATTTTTAGAATTCGTATTGTCATTTGGTAAAGTCACGCTGATTATAAGGTGTACAGTTATTCCGTGTATAATGACGAAGTTCAGGTGTGATTATTACCCGTGTTTATAGCAAATCCTGAATACACCGTTTGGTTGTGCGCCTGACAGAGGCGGAACGTACAGATTAGGTAACAGGGATCGGGTAATTTGGTACATATACTATTGGAATCGGTATCGGATTCGACTCGGAACTTGTTAACTATTGGTAATATTAATTATGTGGAAAACAAAGAGGCCTGGAATGGTGACATTTTTAATCTACACCATTGTCCTATATTATTTATATATAAAAAGTTAAATTCTGCGGGCAGTACGTCGTCTGAGCATGCGCGAAAGCGTATAAGACACGGATCGGTAACGGACTCCGAATCTGGATATTTTCTCGAAAAATTGGCGTTTTCTGCGGAAAAAAGATTGTTCCAAAGACAAATTTAGGAAGTACAAACCACTACATTTATACGTCATATCACAAATATTTCCGACTTTGTATGGTTTCAGAGGAGTTGCGGGTCAATGAAATCGGTCTCTTCCTTTAGTAGTATAGATAAGACACATTTAAAAGCTCAATGTACTGATCATACTATTATATTTTTATTTTAAGTTCCTGCTTAATATGAAACATATTTTAGAATACGGCTTAGTATATCACCGTGATTTCAGAAATAATTATTTTTAATCGAAATGGTGCCATTACGTCAGTGCTTCTTACAGCTATACTAGTACTATCCAGTGTGTGACTAGGGATCTACATCTTTATGCTTAAAATGAAATGATGTGAAACGTCTTCATTAGTTATATATATCGTTATCTATTGGAGGATAATAAATTTAAAACAATAAAATACATTTTAACTTTTGTATTTTTCAGTTTGAATTTGATATTGACACGAAGTAGTATTTGAAAGATGATTATGAAAATATATATATTTTGGTTTCAAGTAACGTGTTTTAATATCCAAATTTAGATTTCAATAAATCTTAACAAAGTTAAAGGAAAAAAGTATTTACATTGAACTTCATCATACTTTCTGCCAAAAATACGAATAAAAAATACATAATCTCCCTATGCTACTACAATGTTAGAGGTATAATCGATCTCACGCACTAATACCGTATCAGTTATCTTTCCGTTTGAGAATCATGTACAATGTACAAGACCCAATAGATCTGATACTGACCTTGTTGTCAATAAAACAGTTTGAATATCATAAATTTCAATCTTTTTCTCAAATGGCTTCCGATAGTGTGACATCATTGCTAGAAGCAAAACGTTTTTGTTGAAAGTCGACTATGACCAGACGTGGTAAAAGGGATACGTAATGACTCATTGGAACGATAAACAATGGTAAATTGCGGTTACAACAATTGGAACATATCCGTCGTCATCTGTGAAACAAATATTCCATACCAGTCAATCAACTCGTCCTGGTGTTTGTAAAATTTTTGAATTTATCAAGGAAATCATGATAGAAAAGCAAGCTCTGGAATATCGTATCAACTGGAAGGTTTGTACTCCATATACAGCCGCTTAGAAATGCCATAGAAATGGAAAGTTCACAATTGGGAAGCTGAAATCATCTCTTTTGTCGTAAAGTTTTGTTCTCAATCGACCCTCTTCGTCAATTTCTAGATGTAAGTTAAGATATGAGGCAGACTTAACTGTATCTGTCGTATCCTTTAGTTCAAGTTCGATGGGATAGATGTGTTCAACATAGTCACCAAACTGATAAAATTGATTTTAGTAATGTATAAGGAGGTTACGAAGAGCACTTGGAATACCCAGCAATATAACGTTGTGTGTAAGGACACTTATATAATTTTAGTATCCAATAAAGTGAAGGAAGATCCTGTTCTTCATCTTTTGTTGAAATTCCAAAAGAACATAAAACAGACCTATGAAAATTCAGGATTTCTCTCTTAGTAAGGGTCGTGGGGGTATACGTTGATTTTCCAAGTAAAATACCAAATTCATTTATCAAGCAGTTTATGTAATGTGATTTACAGACAAAAAGTATGTTGTTTGAGGCTTTATCTGCGGGGACAACAACACATTTGTCATTGAGGTGGGACAGTTGCTTTGCAACATTTGCGTCTTTAAAGATTGGTGTATTCATAGACCCATTCAGGTTTTTTTAAATTCTGATTTGTATTAACGACCTCACAGCCTTAATCCATTCCGAAAGCGTATCGAATCCAACAGTATTTTGAAGTTTCCAATTGATGGATTTAAGCTCACGATATTTCGGTTATTTGGATAATACATTTAGCAGGGAACTGTTATTGACAATGTTTTGGTCACTAGTAATATAGTGGCCAGCCGGATTATATATGAATGGGGAACTAACACAGGTGCAATCGGGAGGTTTACACTTGAAGTCGTCGATATTGAGATCCTGCAATACGTATGTGTAATAGAAAAGTTTAGTTGCAATTAGTTTGGTATAAGATATGGACCAATTTCGTTTTGCTCAAAAGTATTAGGTTGAAACAGAATGCATCCATATATGTAACCTTTTGTTAATTGTTAGTACCAGGAATAAACAGGCCGACTCAATACTTATACCCATGGACTTTGTGACACATTTTTGAAAATGAGAATGGCCAATTTCGAAACATATATGTATATATACTGTTTGAATATACTCTCGATGACATATTTAAAACCCGAAAAGCTGCTTCTAACGAAGCAATTAACTGCTACATCGACATGCTAAAATTAAAAACATATAAAATATAGTTTATGTAATCCATCGCACTTCAGCGTTACCACCAAGGCTGAAAAAGAGCGTCACAATGCCACCATCTTACTTCAGTGTGATCATCAGGTTTCGGACAACCATTGCGGTTTCAGAGTCCTACACATATATAGTATTGTACATTTCTTATGTAAACATGATTTGGAACAAAAATTAACTGAAATTCTTGTGCCAATTTTTATCCAAGTGTTCAACATTTTATGGATATGACTTCAATTTGTAAAGTTTAAATTGTTGCCTTTTTTTAATCGAATAGCAGAGAACTTTTAGGAAATATCAATAAATACATGAAATATGTAGGACTAAAAAATACTTTATTGAAAATTATTAAAGACGGTTGTAAAGTATCTGTGTCGAAACCTCATTAAATTCCATTGCTTCAAAAGTTTCTGGCTTTTGTCCAAACCAACATAACAGTCACAGGTCAAAAGTATTTCACTACTCGAAATTTGCACTAAATATTTTATATACAAACTTTTCTTTTAATTGTCCTTACGTTATACTTTGTCCGATCTGAATGAAATCTGTACCAATAAATAAAGAAATAAAAACAAGTTTTTGCAATAATTCAGAAATGTTTGCGGGGTTTATACATATAAAGAAATGACTGTTGAAAAACAACTCTTACCTTCTGCACGGAAAAAATATATATGGGGATCAATGAAACTTAAGTACAATGTTCTTATTGAATATTATGTTTTTTTTCAGTTATGACATGTCATAAAGATTAACCCACCATTTTCTTCGGAAAATGTCTGTACCAAGTCAGGAATATGACAGTTGTGTTTCACTCATTCCATTGGTTGATAACGTTTGATTTTGTCAGCTTTTATGGACTTCCCCTTTTGAATTTACCTTGAAGTTCGGTATTTTTGTGATACTTGTTTATCCTAGGCATAATAACTATTTAAAACTGGACGCGTTGATGAGTTTGACAGTACAAATTGCATGACAATCGGACCTGAAATTATATTTTGACATTTTTTTAAATGTTAAATGTGTTGTATATGAAATACATAGTGGTATTTTCGAGTGGTGAAATACTTATGACCTCTGACTGTTATGTTGGTTTGCAAAAATATGACTGCATACATGTGAACACTACTGGAGACGGCAGGCCATATTATTTATGAAATGACATTGACCAGTGGAAAAAGTAGGTAAACGCATTTCATCAAAGTCAGAATCGAAGAAACATGGATTCGACTAATTTCAGGTTCTTTAATAGGCATGTACTATTGAATGTGGTGTTTAGTTCGAAAATTATCACTTATTTTCAAATTATTATCTACACTGGTTTTATGTTTCAAATGTATAACTGTTAACAGCAAATTAGAAAGTTACATTAGAAATATGTATACTGCTATCAATAAATAATAAATAAGATAAATCTCACAAAACTGTGAATAAACTGGTAAAATCGTGAATTAATATGTTCATTTCAATGTTTATCATGTTCATCAAGTCCACTGACTGAATTAATAAATAGTTTAATCTGGAGTGAAGTGATGAAATGTTGTCATGCAGAACATATAAAGCAACGACACGTTTAATGCCAGTCAATTTGTTCATGAACAATACGTTAAACATTCCTCATTCACAATCATCTTCCCGATAGCGGACTTCCTTCATGGCCCGAGAAATGACCAACTGTGATCGGTTTCATGTACGGAGCTTCAATAATCATTTTACCACTTTCCGAAAAAAATGCTTTAACAGCCATGGGATCTACAGTGTCGGGCAAATGAAACTCTCGATTCAGTTCTTTTGTAGATGTTCTACTACCAATACGCTCCATTCTGCTAGCACTTATTACAAGTTTCTTGTCGACAGTTTTTACAGATAGCTCCTCTGGATTGAAGTCTTCAATATCAACCTCTACACGAAATTTTTTGTCGGATTCTATCGGTGCCGGTGATGAGTCGACACTATTTCTTGTGTCGTATTTAGACGACGAAACTGAAGTCGACGCCTGTGGTGTGAATTGTTTTGGCGAGGAATTTGACATTGTACTCTGTACACTAGTGTATGGGGGTGCAGCACCTTTTGGTCCAGACATAAAGGTCGTAAACGATGACGTGTGCCCTGAAGGTATTTGAGAGGCACTAGGCGGCGGAGTGTTTCTCGGTGGAGTACTCGACACATGTGGACTCGTTTGCGGAATGATACGATGTGTCGTTCTCGGGTTATCCATTACTTGTGGATACTGCGGTGTCGGTAGTGGTGCTTCAACTGATAAAACACCGTCAGAAGATATTGTACACTGTAGTTGTAATGGATCTACTTCGCGTGGAATGTTTACTTCACGGCTAAATTCACGGCTCACTGATTTTGATCCATCCTTTTCTTGGTGAGATGCGTTAACAACTACCCTATCTCCGTCCATTTTAACATTAACTTCTTCCGGTTGATAATCCTTCACATTAAATCTTGCCCGAAACACTGGGCGGCCATTTTGATCTTTTTCAATTACTGATTTAGCATCCTCCATTCCATCTTTAAATCTGAATTTATCGTTAAGTGATTCTAGCCCGTCATCGCACGGTTTTAGGTTAAAGAAATCTCCTCTCATTCTCTCTATATCCGATTCCCATTCCTTGCGTCTCATATCCATGTCTCGCTCCATATCTTCCCACACTTTACTTTGTCTCTCCTGAAAACTTAAGTTGTCTTGTTGGATTGGGATTCGATGTGCCATATTTGCACAAAAACGTCAGGTGATCTGCAATTAGAATGAACATTCTGTAAAGACATGTATGTCAGATCTAGTGTAACCGGAGATCATGATTCTTCTTACAAAATCACTTTGTCTTCTCTGGGACTCAAATCCGGGACCTCTGTATTAAAATGTACACAGGCAGCGCTGTAACCGACTGAGCTAAAGAAGTACTTCCCTAGCTCAACCGCTTACAGGCGGAAACCCAGTTGAAATTAGACAAAAGAAACGGAACTCTTTGTTAGAGAAGGTTAAAAAGACCAAGTTGAAAATTTGAATGGTTTACATCTGTTTCTATGGGCTTTAAAAGTTTAATGAATGTGCATAGTTTAGGATTTTATGCGTCTTTTTTTTGGCATGTGTTTTTACTTAAATTATGGTATGGAGATTCGAGATATTTGTAAACTTTAAAATTGTACTCAAATTTTCACAAAACAGTCGATTGTGGTAGGTGCAAATTCATGTGGATCGTTTTTGTGCATAAGCATAAATTCCACCGAAAAAAAATTTAAAGAAAGATGATAGATTTATATTTTTAAGCATTAATTTGCATCTCTGCAGTGACAGTTTTTTTTGGGAAAAAATCCTCAAAATGGGCAATAATTTCATCGAAAAGAGAAAGTCCAGTACACTTTTTCATGTTCAGGCGACGCGTGTTTGAGTTGACTATTCTGTCTTGAAAACGTATAAAAAAAATATTTGATACATCATCTCGCTTCAGAATCTATTATTTTTATATATTTAGGCTCTTGGTTGATATAATGACATTATTAATGTACAGTACTAAAAAATAAAATATATGGGTCAAGTGAAATACCTTTCTAATGAGTCATAACAACAGAGTAGGTGTGTTCGAATAACAAATTTTTACTAAAAGTACTTGACGACAGACTTTTCAAGTGGATCTAAAAAATGCATAACTTAAAAAAAACGTCATTTTTTGTGTGTGTTATCTAAGTTAATTAGTCTTCAATCTCTGAAAATTCTTAGTCTGCCCTTCCACGACATATTTATTTAAAACTTTTTTAAATATTTTTGAACTTTCGAAAATTCCCCCTGACAACCGATCAAACAATAGTTTTTAAGTTGATCAAATGCATAAAAGTACATTAAATGATGCTTAATAGTTAGTAGATACATTTGTCTTTTAAAATACAACTGGCATATAAGGATCGTAATGATGCTATGTGGATAAATTTATCGGTTTTCAAGAGCTAAATTGACAGCGCGTCATCACTACAATGGCTTCCATTTTTACGATTACAAAAATTAGGTGGCGTAATGGGGAGATAATTTTGACGAAGTAGAATCCTGACTGCTTATGGCTGGCTAAGTATCTACTACATGTTCTAAGGGAAGCAATCCCGTCACATCTCCCCTACCTCCCATTATGACTCAAACAACATTCCCTGGCTAGAAATCCTCTCTAACCACCGTGGGTTTTTTAGTTGGGCGCCAAATGTAACCGGAGAGCATGATTCTGCATACAAGCAAACGATGGCAGTATCAATGTAAACATTGTACACGTAAAACAGTGTAATCAAATAAGTCTATCAAAATATTAGCATTGTAAAATAAATGTATAAGTTCTATTAAAAAATTGTAAGCACAATGTCAGATCAAAATATTATAGAGCCTAGTGAAAGCCCTTGGGCTACACCTATTTTGCTTGTAAGAATCGGATATTTAATACAGAGAAAAATACAAAGATTGAACCGTCTCTTGTTACACTAGTATAGTTGTGTTATTTTAAAAAAGCTTTTGTCATCGTTACTATTAAATACCTAAAAACTCAATCACAATGCTGTTCTTATAAAACTTTGTTACAGGCGTTTGGTAAATGTAACCCCCTTTTCTATTGTTTTTTTTCCTTGTTTTATAATTTTTTCTGGGTAAATATTCTGTAATATTTTAACTTATTTTCATTTATCTAATGTGTTCTTATATAAGTCTATTGGAGGGTCAAATTTATTAACTACTGTAATACCGTATGCAGTTGCGTTGTCGCTAGATTATAAATTGTAAGGGATCTGGGGGCGGTAGCCCCCATAAGCTTAACGATTATCGTAAAATTATGACTGAAAATCAAAAAAAAAATATTTGTAAGCAAATAATATTTCCTTAAAAAATTAAAATACATGTAAAAAAATATTAAGAAGTAAGGGCGGGTCTATTCCCCAAGCGCTATTGCTTTTTGTTACCAACGTTTTAACTAAACTATCTCATACGTCTTAGATTTTACTCTTGTCGTTGTCCACGGTTTCAATATACAAACAAATGCCAGAAATGGCTGCTATATGATTTAAAACCTAAAATAAATCGGAGTGAAAACAAAATCAACACAATAGACTGAAAAACGGCAAAATTAGGTAAAACATGAAAATGCTGCTTTTCTGTACAATGGATATTATCTTATATTTACATATACATTACCTAACAGTGTCCATTTCTGTACGGTATATTAATTCAATGGAAGTTACATTAAGTCACAACACATTATTGTATCCGTGTAGATGGAATGTATCTTACGCCTAAACTAGTTAGATGTTGTCAACATTGATATACATACTAAATGTTGAGTAACTTGTCATCAATTGCCTCTGGACAGGACGTGAGATACAAAGATGTAAACGATCATAGCAATCGTCATTGTACTATTTGATGTTTCATTTAGATAAACAGTTAAAAGATTAAATAAATGTGAAAATGAAATCTGATGACCGATTTTAAGGTCTTATTTATCGTTTGGTTCAAAAGCAACTTGTATTGTCAGGATACACAGAAGTCATTTAAGTGTCATCATACCTGATGTTACAGACATTAAAACAAGACAACATATATACGGTATCATTTAGTAATAAGGCTTTAAGAGACGACCATTTGATGTTCGGGAGGGGAGGAGGATTTTTGCGGATTGACTATTTATTTACATCTGTTGCAAGCTATGCGTGCTTATTTATTTTTAGCGGCTTAGTCGCGCGAAAATTTTTTCATTACTTTTAAACACAATTATTTCCTTCAATAAAAACAAATATGATATAAAGCCGGATCTCAGTCAGATATCATCGTTATTCAGTATTATACGCCTCCACGACAAAATGAAGAAAAGGAAAGATAGAACGAGATTTGTTTTCTGTCGGTTCAATTGTACTAATTGATTCTCATTTAAATTCTGTTATCAGTAATGACAAATTAAAATGTAAAATTAATGGCTAGTGACCAAATGACCGGACTAGTTATCTCAGACAATTGTCCTCTGGCCAAGGCTAAACATTACTATAACAGATGGTGAGGTGACATTGTCAATTTATGTACACTTATAATTTTATAAGATATCAGAGTTCATGTGAACTTCTGACGATTATTCTGTTTTTCTAACGCTGTAATTAAAGAAACCTTAGTATGTTTTTGAAAATGAACATGTATTGCATCTACAGAAATATACCTTTTTTACTTCACCGAGATAAATTAAATTTAACTAACGAAACATTCAAAAATTGACATGAATTAAAGAAAAAATTATATATTACGCACTTTTGCTTATCTGTGTCTGTTCTTGTCTTTAATACACAATAGACGAGTATGATATTGGAATATAAGTAAACCTCTAGATATACACTGCATACGAGACTCCAAGCCTACGTATCTTTTCAATCATCTGAATCACACAAGTTTTACACATTACATCACAAGAAATTCCACTTATTACAAACATAGCGGCGGAATTAGTTAATTACACAACAATATAAATCGTCAATCTGTTTCTTTTTATTCTGAAACATATGCTCTGGAGAACGTACAAGAATATGGCATTTAGATAAGATCTACATATTTCAGAGAATCAGGAGTTCCATCATTGTTATAGCATGTGTAAGATAGAAACCATGATTTCTGATTTACTTAATTGATAATGAGTTTATAATTATAGCGTAATAATCTTCAGAAATTCATCTATATTTTTGATTTTTTGAGGGGTTATTTTAACCCCTGGTTAACCAGACATAGTTTGAGTAATCAGAGGTGATCAGACAAGTCAACAACACAACTTTACCAAAAATAAACATTTATCTTGTCTATAGGTCAACATGTTACAAGTTCTGTATTCTACTCTGACTATTCCATTGATTGTCCAATGGTCTTGTTTCCATAATATAATATTGTTAGTTCAATTGGCGGAAAAAATAATACAATAGAATATAAGCTTGAATTTTGATAACATGGAACGCTATAATTATTAATTAAGAATGGTCCGTCTTAAGCGCATTCCTCGGTTTACCTTCATCAGAAACACCCGAGCAACCAGGGATGTGTAAATTCTTGAGGGACTGTATGACCAAAAGAGGCCTTAATTAAAGAATATATCCAACACAATGGAAAAGGTGAACCAATTGTATATTAATATGAAAATGGATTTTACCCTTGAAGCATTTCCATTTGTGTTCAATTGCGTTGCGTGAGTGGCAATCATTATATTATTCATGCCATGCAGAGTTCAATGAAAATCGGACATTTTTTATATTCAGTTTAGGTGACGCTAGCTCCTAAGCCAAAATAAATATCATGACTGTTTATGTAACAGTAAACGTCAGCATGTCTTTACAATCTGTACACACATCACTCGTTGTATCTTCTCATCTACAGCTGTTGTTTTAGTAGCATTATATGACCTTTCACCTATGATGCTAATATTTACCAAAATAAAAGTGCAAAGCAATGACTTTCTTCTTAGAGAGACAGTCTTACTCTAACTGACAGAAAGAATGTATGCTAAACTACGATAAATTCGTTATGCCGTCCTCCCTTTATTAATTTCTACCATCGTCTTAAACCATGCAAGTTTTCACAATCATGCACGAAAAATACATTTAAGATACCATCATTCAAAACTACAACAGAAACAGTATAAAAATTCATTGTATACATAAATTCGACTAGAGAAACGAATGATTTTGGGTAGGTTTGGTAAAAACATTAAGATGATTGTAATAACTTGGTGAAGATAATATTGATAAACTGAATCATACAGAATGCTTCATTAACATCATATAATTGATTTATTCAGGATCGATTTCCGTCTTTATACAATACATATTCATTCACATATAAAGGACAACATATCTTATTACTGTCTGTCTTCAAACCATAATATCATTTAACTTGTACTGGTTGATAACAATGTGCGTTTTAAGATGGATACAATGACTTTGGTACATAACTTTCTCCTCATCGGTTTGTCATATTGAGTAAACAAACTTATGGAATGTCAATCATTCTGTGTATAAAATAAGTTGAAACCCATAGGTCAAAGTCTAATAAGGATGTTTGCAACTGCATCGAACAGAAGGAAAATCTTATTGTATACTATTTAACACCCTTATTAAATAACTCGGGTCCCTTGCATATGATGATATTATATAATATGTCTTTGTTTATACTGACTCCCTGTTAATTAATTAACACTGACAAGCGATCTTTTAAGGAAAGTCAAAATAGAACCGACATGAGTATGCTTCCTCATTTAATTCGTTTATCGTTTATTTTAAAAATAACGAATTATAAAGCTATCAATCTGTGTTGTAGACAGTCATTACTACCAACAGCTGATCATCGATCTCCCAGACAACCTTAAAATTGAATAAATCAATAGACCATGTACTAAAATAAATACTACATCCCAATGTCTACTGCTTAATGTCAATAAAACTGTTAAAATATACACTTAAAATTAATTAAATACTCACCGTATTACACGACTATTTATCACTTTATGGCTGAGGTGGTTTCTGATTCGGTGTTTATTCCAGAAACATCGGATGCTAAATTTATCTCCGGCTAGCAGCAAATGTAATGCATAACTCTGACTTGAGGCTACAGAGGGGGATAGGTCGGTGTTAGATTAATGGGATAGTAGTCAGATAAAATTATAATAACATCTGAAGCATGTCCGAACCAAGGTGATCTCCCGACAGCGAATAACTATGTATTGTTGTAATCATATATCAAATTCACAAATGATTACTTCGGGATAGTTATTATAACAGAAAGTTCTTTATATCAAACTTAACGTGTTATTTCGGGCTTTTAAAGAATATATATAAGGTTTGACTCATAACTTGAATGAATTTGATTGTATTCACATGGACGAAATAAACTTAATATGAAGGAGTAAAGTGTTCATAATCTATATTCAAATTGTTTCCGGTTGACTTGAATTCAGCGCATATATAAGTATATAATTAAGACATTTTTAATGTTTCGCTTAAAATTAGATTTTTAGAGATTTCGTTTAAAATTAGATAGCGTAAAACTTTATCATTGGAATACTCAAGTATGTAGCCCCTGTACACTTCCTTAAATTTTTATTTATCATAATTCGGTTATTTTATTAAAGATACGAAACATATTTTTGCCAAAATCATGTTCATTCATACTGTTTGTTTGATAAAGATTGATAAAAAAAACTAGAAATAACTATGCAACAAAAGGGTACAGATCTACACGTCTATCATCATGCCGTTGTAAACATTTATCTATATTGATTGAAATATCATCCGTACACTTTCATCTTTTAAAATCTTTATTTACATGTATATGAAAATTAACTAAGCAATGAAGTACACAACTAGAGAGGAATTAACCCAGCAAGATAAAATAAATCTCATACCAATTCCATCAAGGAAATGTTTGGCGAGGTCTTTCCATAGCTGTGAGGGAGCCCCAAAATTCATTTGACAATAGATACTTTATATTTAACATTCTTAAATATTTCACTGAAATCCATTTTGTTGCAGATAAAAACCGGGGACGGAATAACAATTTACCAGACGGGGACTCATACGAATGGACAGACGGACGAACTTATACGAATGGACAGACGGACCAACTTATACGAATGGACAAACCGTGACCAACTTATACGAATGGACAAACGGACGAACCTATACGAATGGATAGACGGACGAAATTATACGAATGGACAGACGGACGAACTTATACGAATGGACAGACGGGCGAACTTAAGCGAATGGACAGACGGACGAAATTATACGAATGAACAGATGGACGAACTTATACGTATGAACAGATGGACGAACTTATACGAATGAACAGATGGACGAACTTATACGTATGAACAGATGGACGAACTTATACGAATTAACAGATGGACGAACTCATACGAATGGGCAAATGATCGCTACTAGTATGTAAATAGATATAAGAAGATGTGGTACATGTATGAGTGCCAATGAGACAACCCTCCATCCAAGTCAAAATTTATAAAAGTAAACCATTATAGGTTTTCAACGGTCTTCAACACGGAGCCTTGGCTCACATCGAAAAGCAAGCTATAAAGGACCCCAAAAATTACTAGTGTAAAACCATTCAAACTTGTTTTAATGCGCGAGAATATTTTCAATCTAACGGTGACGATTCCGTTCTTTTCAATGACATTACCGCAACGTAATCTACTCGAAATGTACAAACCGATTATATCTTAAAAAAGGAGAGATCCTTATTGTTTGTAACATGTTAATGACGAGATTGACACCACTTTGTTAACAAAAGAGAAGTTATTATCGTTAAAAATGAATTACATGGACTGTAAAATACTGCCTTCAAATTGCCTATGATATAAAATTGAATTTTATACTTTTACACCTAATATTTCTTCACCAGCTATAGTCCTGAAGAGACACGAGACGATGACTAATACTATAAATCATTTGGGTTGTCTTTCATTTATACAAAAAAAAATCGTTCATTTGTTATTGAGGTAACTTACACGTAACATGTACAAATAGTACAAATTTTACATTCTGAATCAATGTGTAATGTCAACAGGGGCGTGGCAGGCGTGCGCCCTAAATAAAGTCAAAGCATGGGTTGCAATCAACATTACTTTAATAACATTTATAAATGACTGATACCTTCCTAGGCCTGTATATGTGCTTTAACACGTTGTTCCCGGATCTTATTTGATTAAACTCGGATCTTCTTGAAATATACAAATGAATGCATGTATTAACATGTGCCTGTCCGACTAAGTCAGGAATATCGTCAGCCATTGTCGTATGGAATTGTGTGTTGGTGACCTCAGTTGGTGACAGATCTTTGATTGTTTCTGTAAATTTATCCCCCCCCCTTTTTAAGACTTATTTAGACGATTTAGAGCTTGTCTAGTGTTTGGACACCTGTATGATAAGCACTTGAGATATATGTTGTTCTCTATGTGTATTTTGGTTATTTTTGTTGTTGAGTTACTGTCTTATGTATTACATACACTCCTTTATTCGCAGTGAAAAGTCATGAAAAACTATTATTCTGGTAAGTGATGACGTACGTAAAACTAGTGTGATTTCGATTGTAGTTTTTCTTCATAACCTTGCTGGAGGCACTCCCTGTTTTTATGTTATGAAGTCCTTATATAATGTGAACATGCAGAGCGTAGCATAAACTCTGGGGCAGTGGGTATCCGACAATAGTAAAATTTTCAATGTCACGTTTGTCTTGATCTTACTAGTTTGAAGTCTTCCATCTCTGTCATTGATTTTTTGGTCATTTATGTCAAGTTAAGTGAAAAAGAAGGTTATTACAACTTGTGTAAAGTTGTGTCTAATGATTTAAATACCTTTTGGACAAAATGATTGTGTTAAAGTCATCACACACAAAACAGAGCAAGCCTTTGTTACGTATTTTTCTACAATAACTATTTGATGTTGGTCGTATCACCGAGTATCACCAAGTATTCCCACTATGAAATATACGTTGTATAACACTGCAATTAATATTTTGAATAAAGAATGTGTTTTTCTATGCCGATCAATGAAAACAAATCGCATGGAACATGTCTCGGTCCAATTTTTAAAGAATACCTTCAAGCACAGCTATGAGTACGGCTGAATACCATTTTGATTTTAAGGAAACATGATTGGAAAATATTTAATTGCATTTAAAGTTCAAGGTTTTATTATTTCCTTCTACAGTTCAATGGGAAACATGCGTGCCACATTGTATGTTATGATCATCAGAACAAGAGGAGGTATAATACCAGACTATAAAATGATAGTCCTAGGCACCTTAATTCAAAATATTATATGATCATCATGTGATTGTTTTTTTTTAGAATCCCCACCCCCTTGGATTACGCTTTGATGCACCATATTGCAGAAACTACTTTTGTAACCTATGTAAATACTGTGTCTATTTCACTGTGATGTCATATTTAGGATACACAAAAGACGAAATTTAAAGAAAGACATTTTTTGGGGGGAGGGGGCTGAGAATTATAAGGATTCAACATATTTTTTATAGTTTATTATGGGGTTAACTGGCAACTTTTCATAAACAAGCCAGTTAGTGAGTGCATCAGCCAAGTTTTCACATCTCGAGTACATAATGGTACTGAAAACATGTTTTTAATCCTATATTAAGTTGGTTCAGTGTTAATCAGATTGAAAAATTATAAACTGGGCCCAATTTTGTATATTTAGATATACATTTAAGAGGTAGTTTCATTTTTAAATTAGTTCGTGACTTTGACCTTATAGGCCTGCATTCAAAACTTATTCAAAACAATATGGTCGTTGGCAGCAATCAATATACATTATACCATCTGTAGAAGTCAATCCACAGACTGATGTAGAGTTATAATAGCTAGCAAATTTTTTTCCCCCAAACTGGCGGTATTAGATGTCTTTAATCTAGCAATGAAGTGCGAGGTTTTCTTCGTGTTGATGCCTCTTTATTACTTTGAAATTCACTGTTTCTTTAGGTTTTGTTAATTGCTTGTTGGGATAATAGGCAATAACATGATAAATCTTATCCATCATAAATGTATACCTCAAACTACCTAAAAATCTAGAAACAAATTTCCTATTCTTTGCTGCCGCCAAGTGTTGCTACAGCTGTACAAGGTAAGATGAGATGGGTTATTGCTGCCTAGTGTTGCTACAGCTGCACAAGGTGAGATGAGGATGAAATGGATTATTGCTGCCTAGTGTTGCTACAGCTGTACAAGATGAGATGAGGATGGAATGGATTATTGCTGCCTAGTGTTGCTACAGCTGTACAAGATGAGATGAGGATGTCGTTGGCAGCAATCAATATACATTATACCATCTGTAGAAGTCAATCCACAGACTGATGTAGAGTTATAATAGCTAGCAAATTTTTTCCCCCCAAACTGGCGGTATTAGATGTCTTTAATCTAGCAATGAAGTGCGAGGTTTTCTTCGTGTTGATGCCTCTTTATTACTTTGAAATTCACTGTTTCTTTAGGTTTTGTTAATTGCTTGTTGGGATAATAGGCAATAACATGATAAATCTTATCCATCATAAATGTATACCTCAAACTACCTAAAAATCTAGAAACAAATTTCCTATTCTTTGCTGCCGCCAAGTGTTGCTACAGCTGTACAAGGTAAGATGAGATGGGTTATTGCTGCCTAGTGTTGCTACAGCTGCACAAGGTGAGATGAGGATGAAATGGATTATTGCTGCCTAATGTTGCTACAGCTGCACAAGGTAAGATGAGGATGGAATGGATTATTACTGCCTAGTGTTGCTACAGCTGTACAAGGTGAGATGAGGATGAGATGGATTATTGCTGCCTAGTGTTGCTACAGCTGTAAAAGGTGAGATGAGGATGGAATGGATTATTGCTGCCTAGTGTTGCTACAGCTGCACAAGGTGAGATGAGGATGAAATGGATTATTGCTGCCTAGTGTTGCTACAGCTGTACAAAGTAAGATGAGGATGAAATGGATTATTGCTGCCTAGTGTTGCTACAGCTGTACAAAGTAAGATGAGGATGAAATGGATTATTGCTACCTAGTGTTGCTACAGCTGTACAAAGTGAGATGAGGATGAAATGGATTATTGCTACCTAGTGTTGCTATAGCAAGATGAGGATGAGATGGGTTATTGCTGCCTAGTGTTGCTTCAGCTGTACAAGGTGAGAGGATGAAATGGATTATTGCTACCTAATGTTGCTACAGCTGTACAAGGTGAGGATGAGATGTGTTATTGCTGCCTAGTGTTGCTACACCTGTACAAGGTGAGATGATGATGGAATGAACTATTGCTGCCTAGTGTTACTACAGCTGTACAAGGTGAGATGAGGACGAGATGGATTATTGCTGCCTAGTGTTGCTACAGCTGTACAAGGTGAGATGAGGACGAGATAGATTATTGCTGCCTAGTGTTGCTACAACTGTACAAGGTGAGATGAGGATGAAATGAATTATTGCTGCCTAGTGTTGCTACAGCTGAACAAGATGAGATGAGATGGGTTATTGCTGCCTAGTGTTGCTTCAGCTGTACAAGGTGAGAGGATGAAATGGATTATTGCTACCTAATGTTGCTACAGCTGTACAAGGTGAGGATGAGATGTGTTATTGCTGCCTAGTGTTGCTACACCTGTACAAGGTGAGATGATGATGGAATGAACTATTGCTCCCTAGTGTTACTACAGCTGTACAAGGTGAGATGAGGACGAGATGGATTATTGCTGCCTAGTGTTGCTACAGCTGTACAAGGTGAGATGAGGACGAGATAGATTATTGCTGCCTAGTGTTGCTACAACTGTACAAGGTGAGATGAGGATGAAATGAATTATTGCTGCCTAGTGTTGCTACAGCTGAACAAGATGAGATGAGGATGGAATGGATTATTGCTGCCTAGTGTTGCTACAGCTGTACAAGGTGAGATGAGGATGAATGGATTATTGCTGCCTAGTGTTGCTACAGCTGTACAAGATGAGATGAGGATGAGATGGATTATTGCTGCCTAGTGTTGCTACAGCTGTACAAGGTGAGATGAGGATGAGATGGATTATTGCTGCCTAGTGTTGCTACAGCTGTACAAGATGAGATGAGGATGGAATGGATTATTGCTGCCTAGTGTTGCTACAGCTGTACAAGATGAGATGAGGATGAGATGGATTATTGCAGCCTAGTGTTGCTACAGCTGTACAAGGTGAGATGAGAATGAGATGGATTATTGCTGCCTAGTGTTGCTACAGCTGTACAAGGTGAGATGAGGATGAGATGGATTATTGCAGTGATAAACAACACAGTTTACCACTAACCAGTACATCAATACAATACAAACACAGTTTACCACTAACCAGTACATCAATACAATACAAACACAGTTTACCACTAACCAGTACATCAATACAATACAAACACAGTTTACCACTAACCAGTACATCAATACAATACAAACACAGTTTACCACTAACCAGCTGTACATCAATACAATACAAACACAGTTTACCACTAACCAGTACATCAATACAATACAAACACAGTTTACCACTAACCAGTACATCAATACGATACAAACACAGTTTACCACAAACCAGTACATCAATACAATACAAACACAGTTTACCACTAACCAGCTGTCCATCAATACAATACAAACACAGTTTACCACTAACCAGTACATCAATACAATACAAACACAGTTTACCACAAACCAGTACATCAATACAATACAAACACAGTTTACCACTAACCAGCTGTCCATCAATACAATACAAACACAGTTTACCACAAACCAGCTGTACATCAATACAATACAAACACAGTTTACCACTAACCAGTACATCAATACAATACAAACACAGTTTACCACTAACCAGTACATCAATACAATACAAACACAGTTTACCACTAACCAGTACATCAATACAATACAAACACAGTATCAATTTTCAACTTTTATTATAAAACATGATGAGCTATAAAATGGTTTGCAGCCACCATGTTTCCTAAGTAACAATGTATAAACAACCATAACAATGTTAACACAATGTATTTATGTTGTATCATTGTGTAACACAATGTATTAATGTTGTATCATCTTGTAGATTATTTAACTACATACTCATTTAAGTTCTACTTTTGGACTAATGTCAATTCCAAAACATTAATTTCCTACAAAATATCATAATTTATGTATACATTTAAGGACCAGTTGAGAATAAATAGTTTACCCATTTTGTGCATATATCACAGTTCAGTTTCTAATCAATAAGCTAAAAGTAACAATGAAATTCTGGAGGTCTCAAGACCAAACATTTAGCTGCAGGTTAGAAAATTATATTCATTCTCTGCAAACTGTAATTTGTTTTTATGTTGAGTACAGTTGTTGTATTTGAAAATTGGTCACTTACATATATATAGATCGTAAACTTTACTAAAATTTCTTTAAGTGCTGTTACATAATATGCAAATCTACAAAAACTTGCACTACTCTTGAATTTTATACGTTGCTTTTCAAAATTTATGAGGAAATTTACTGTATCCTGATCGTATTAAATATTTCATTGAATAAGTCTTACTGACCAAATGTAATTAAATTGTATATTACAATGTAAAAACATATTTATGAAAAAATACCATACTATGCACCAAAATGATCCTTTTAATAATCACCTTTTAGCTGATAACATTATCTTTAAAGTACATAATACATCTATCAATTAACAGCATTAGGTAAAGGCAGAGACAGAATGAGGACTAAGGAGGATACAAATCCAGGCTAAAGTAAATTCATTATTTCTCTGTTGTGATAAAGCTGGGATTGTGCTGTGACAAAACTGCTGCATTGTGGGAAAAGCTGGTCAAAATTAAAATTAAGCAAATTTATGTGAGAATTACAGATATGTATATACTGTGTGAGGTAAGTCTATAAAGGAAAATAGATTAGATTACTGGAATGATGTAGAATAAAACAGGAACATATCCGTGAAGAATACCAACTACTCATGCATAAATAGTTCTGAACCAAAAACACAACCTTTCTGTTACAAAGGTAAGAAAACGAAAGTTCGAAAAGTTGGAAAGATAAAGAATATTTCTACAGAATACAAAGTGGTACCAAGACAATATTCTGCATTTGTTTGCCTTCAACAATAAGAATCATTACATGTTCTTACTTTAAGGTTACACATCAAAGACTAGGGTCAAATCAAAACTGAAATTTTATTTTTTTACTATGCAAAAGATATGAAATTAGTATTCTGTTTTTGTTGTTGTTTTACTTCATAAAACTTTCATGTTGTAATAATAAACATATAATCCACATGTGTAATAAGTATAACTTAACTTAAAATGTATATTAACTAATTCACTTGAACATTTTCGTCTTTTTAAAGATAATGATTTCTGAAGACAAACTATGCTATTCTAATTCAACACAATGTATATAACACTCACACTTTCAATACAAGACTACTTTAGTTATAGTATACCACAGTTTGATTTATCTTTCCTCAATCATACCTTTTATTAATGTCCTTGCAATCACTCAACTAACTCCAATAAATAAAATTTTGTGTGTAAATTTACTTATACAGCTGAATAAATATTTTTTTCATTTAACAACAAATTTATTTTATGTGTGTTAAGTGATTCTTATAATTGTTGAAAAAATGTATTAAAAACTGACCAAGATTCATGAATACATTACTGACAGCAAGCTTGACTAACAACCTTCACCTGAACACATTGGCAATGCTGTTGATTAGCAACCTACTATATTGCACAAATTAAATAAATAATATTGTAAACATATTATCAATGAGTAACTAAGGGGAACATCACTGCTTTCCATGTGCACTAAATACAATTTCCCATATGTTTTATTGTATATATAACACTGGCAGTACTTTTAATATAAATGCTTGGTTGACATTTTTAAAACATGTAGATAAATCTTATCTGTATTTTTAGTAAAGATTTTAACTGAGATCTGACTGAAAACAATGAACCTCATATAGAAATCTCTACAATCGTCTTATGTTGCTACAATAGTTAAACATTATGAAATTTTCTATTTGATAAAATCATTGGTTTTGTATATATGATTCTGTGATGACAGAATTTCGCTCAGATCTAGTCCTGTGATGGAATCTGGGAATATTTTTCTGTTACCCCACTAGTAGGAATCTTTAAAGCTGTGTATGAATACCATTAGACAGTAATCCAGTATGGTCATGGGACAGGGACATTATAATGTCTATCATCCTCTGCTATTAAAGAGATCTGGGACCAGTTACTGTCAGCATCATCTGGGTAGTATGCTACAAAGTCTTCCTGGCCAAACTGTGACAATCGCAATACCTGGATACGCACACTCAATGTGTGACCCAGTAAAAACATTTCAATCTGAAAATATACAAATAAAAAATATCATAACTCATGAGTTGATAGGTTTTGATAAATCAATTGTTTTAAACTCAAATCTCAACTTAAAAAAATTACAAAAAAGATAATTGAGTATGTGGCTGTGCATCAATAGCTTGTGAAAACTGATTTTGTATCCTGAATTTCTATAAATCTTTTAAACTAACAATCTAAAGGGAAAGAGTACATCTACTTCATTTGAACTTTTGTGGATAGTTGTCTCATGGGCAATCATACCACATCTCCTTATTTTTATAAAGATGTAATTTTATCTACGGAAAAAAATTGAAAAAAAACTTGCCAAGGACACCATATCTTCCCTAAAATCCACAGTCACAGAAACACAAATGTAAACATCAAAGCTAATTTGTTTTATTATCTTGAAAATTTTTGTCCATAGTAAAATTATATGATCCTAGATCCTAGCATAGTACAGTTTTTTCTAGAAACTATTTTAGCTGTGTAACTGTTACCGTATGGAGGCCGTAATGTTATGGCCTTTACCTAAATATTTGTTTTGGCACCAATGGCTCTCCATACTTTTAATGGTCAACTGTATGTATTTTCGAAATTTATGCTTTTTCCCTCAATCTAAAGCTATATATTGTCATGTTTCTCAGGTTTAAATGTGCAGTTTGAGCTCAAATAAAAACTTTGAAAATCAAAATTGGATAAAACTGTTTTTTCTGGAGGGGTGGGCTTCCCTTCTGTGTCTGTGTCTTTTAGGAAATACAAGTGCCTAAAACTTCCAAAAACTGTGTAAAACCACGAACATATAACTACTGATTGTGTTTATTATTTAATTACGCTTATGGAAGGACTACTTTTGGTTCCAGATCCAGGTGTAGCCAAAAATCAGGAAAATAAGAAAATTCCAATTTTTTGGTTGAAATTACCGTCTTTAGACTGTCGTACCCAGATCAGTTTCACTGAGACCTAAGCACTTTTTTGGGTAATGTGTTCAATGAGGTTCAATTTATATGCAGACTTCAGTGAGATACATCTATCAGCATCCCTGGGTCTTCCACATCACGAAGAAGGACAAAATAACCTTCAAAATAGATAACCAACTTTGGGGCAGCATATTGCAAAAAGTAGACATGTGTACTATAGTTTACCTGTTCAATACCAGCATTATCCCCAAGGTTATTTAAATGATTCTTTACAAACATTATAGGTGATTCTGATGTGTCTCTAGCAAACAACAACCATACAAAGATTGGAATATCTTCTCCTCCATCTTGTTTATCTTTTAAATCTAACATGTTCAGTAACATCAGCAGTTTTAGACCTTCCATTAGGTGAAGGTCACAAGTAGGGTCAGAGTTCAAAAGGTTGATTGTCCAAAGCTCGCGGTCAGATTGTGATTGGAAAGACTTGGCTTCTTCAAACTGAAAGAAATAATTTAATGTAAAACAATTTGTGGATTATCTCCCATAGACCACAAACTGGCAATCATAAATGTTTCCATTTCTTGGGATATTTTAAGACTTTGGTTAATACAATTTATTGTATATTGAATAAAAGTGAAAAAGTTCAGTACATATATAGTAACATGAAAAATATCTCTATTTCCTGAAGTTACAGTTATATATTGAGATTTGTTAACTGATTTTTAGTATATATATCACCTACTATAATAAAGCTTATGTACAAGTGTATTTTACATAGGTATACATGTGTGGTTAAAAAACCTTATCAGTCTACTTTATACCAATAAATCTTGTTAAAAAATAAATTTATTTAAATCATGTTCAACTTAAGAAATCCTTCAAGGTCGTGTAAGTTCAATTGTGCATTGTCACAACAGCTGTTCCATCTGATCAATATTAATTAAAACATCTGTCTCATGACCTGCTTGGGTTCAACTATAATAATATGCTACAAGGGGCCAATTGAAGGTTATATCATACATTTATATTAATATTTCAAAGGACTTTTAAGGAATATTAACCTACGTGAAAATGTAGTTTAGCTTACATACTTCTAGCTTGGATCATTTTAATGAGGAGGTCAAACATTGAAAAATCTTGGTATGTTTCTCCTCAAAATGCAAGACAGGAATAAACCTTTTTTTTGTAGAAGTATATGTAAAAACAGAGTCTGATAAATCATGCTTGAAACGTCTGCCACACTTACAGAGGTATAAAAAACATATGACCACCTTTTCTAATGATTTTTTAAATTATCAGATCTATAGTAAACTAATTTGATGCTAAGAGTAGTTTTATTGATTAAAAATAAATTTAAAGAAAAATTTAACAATATTTTTGAAAATAGAATAAATATATAGTTACGATGAAAATAGAAAACTGTTACTTTATAAAAATTTACAACTTAGCTTGGATAGGGAATTTGATTTAGCTTCCAATGACTTTTCTATAAGAAAATGCTTCTTGTAAGTTGAGAATTAGTGACCATAACTTAGAAATAGAAAAGGGTCGCTATTATAAAATTCCTAGAAAGGATAGAATGTGTAAACTGTGCCACTTGCTGGAGGATGAAAAACTCTTCCTCCTTGAATGTAAAATTTACAAAAAACTAAGGGATAATCTATTTGAAAATTGTTTACCTTCTCATTATTTTATGTTTCTTACCCAAGAACAAAAAGTAAAAGAAATGCTAAACCCCTCTATCGTGGAACATGTTAAAAATATTGGCTCCTTTATAAAACAGTCATTAGAATCAAGGGCAGAAGTCTTATAATTTTTTTCCATGTGTTCATTTCTTTTAGAATTGTTATTTCTTTGCCATATTATATAGATATAGGAAGATGTGGTATGAGTGCCAATGAGACAACTCTCCATCCAAGTTACAATTTATAAAAGTAAACCATTATAGGTCAAGGTACGGCCTTCAACACGGAGCATTGGCTCACACCGAACAGCAAGCTATAAAGGACCCCAAAAAATTACTAGTGTAAAACCAATCAAACAGAAAAACCAACGGTCTAATCTATATAAAAACGAGAAACAAGAAACACGTATGAACTACATAAACAGACGACAACTACTGTAATCAGATGTTTGTTTTTTGTTTTTTTGTCACAAACTAATTATGTTTATATGACAATAAAGATATATTATTAGTATCTGTTTTATTTTATACAAAATTATTCATAGCTACCAAATATGTTTTTTTGGTCATTCCATTATTTTTTCTCATTCAAGCTACATATAAATTCTACCCAATGAAAGTTCATATTTTATGATTTATAAATAGAATTAACAAGACCTCTTTATCATCCCATTGATTAAGTGGATATTGTCTCAGGAAATCCTTCAAATTTAAGTGAACCAATTGAGTATTGTCACAACAACTGTTTCAATCTGAACCATAATCCATAATAAAAGAATTCTTGTTAATATAGAGCATTACATTGGTTGAATTGTATGTAATGCAATAAATACTGTGATTTCCTGATCAAATAAAAACCCTTATTTCATGTCAAATAAATCATATTATTTAACACCTATGTCGTCATGCAACAAAATAAGGTGATGTTAAGATATTGTTGTTGAAAACAAGCAAGAATGCATAAAAAAGATATAGCTCCTAGTAACATTACTTCATTTAAATTAAATGCAATTCATTAATAAAATATCTAATATCTACAAGAGTTCAAATGTTGATGACAAAATTGCAGATTCTGGGGAGGGAGGGGTTGATTTAATGTTAGCATGTAAAATAGGTAATAGTATTATTATATTACCTTTGAAAACAATAATGACAAACAGTGTGACATCAAAGATAACTTTTGACCATCCTGACATGAAAGTCGACCAGCGAAAGTCCATTGATTTAATCCTGAACTACTCTCTTTATATCTCCTGCTTAATTTATCTGTAATATTGTTAATATCTGACCAATGTTTTGATATATCTATGCCGTGACAAAGGCACTGAAATAATGTCCCTCGTAAACCACAATAGTTATCTCCCCTTACTCTGCATAGATGTTGGCACCCTGTTACTTTTGGTATTTCTTGGTAAGCCTGAAAAAGTCAAAGAATATTTAAATTATTGATTTCTTTAACTAAACTTCTGACATTTAAGTATAAATATCTAAGCCACAGCAGATCACACTATTTCATGTGTAAGTTGCTGCGGTATGGCAGATTAACACAAAAGTATTGCTAAAGTTTTTTTATTATTATATCAATTGAATTACATTGCCTAAAGTAAACTAAGTAAAGCATTTCATTATTCCCTGTAGCAATGGTAATATAATTATTATTAACCATAATAATCAGCTGATATCACTATTTTCCTGATCTTATTCTGGTGTTTTATAGCTTGTATTTTCTGATGTTTTGGTCGTGTATCATTTGAAGTTATGAACGTTTTATTCTTGTGTTGTTTAATGTTTTTGTATTGTCTGATGTGTTTTGACTTTTTGATCTTGTGTTGGCTGAAGTTTTATTAATTTTTGTATTGTCTGATGTTATCTAATAATTATGTACGTTACATAGATGTTTAATAAGGATTCAATCATTGGCAGATATTAATCACATGATGTTTAAAGTAAAGACCAATTAAATGCAACATCCATGAATGTACATGTTCTCCATGACAAAGTGTACAACATTGTACAGAATGAATGTCTTTGAATGAGTCTTATCACCACATTTATATTTACATGAGCAACACAATGGGTGCTACATGTGAAGCAGGATCTGCTTAGCATTCTGAAGCACCTGAGAACTTCCTGAGTTTTTGATGGAGTTGAGTATTGCTCAGTCTTTAGTTTTCTATGTTTTATTTTGTAGGTTGTTGTTTGTCTTTTTGTTGTTTTTTGTTTTGTTTTTTGACATGGTATTGTCAGTTGGTCTTCCATTTGTGTGTTTGAATATCTCCTTGGTATCTTCCACCGCTCTTACATAACAAATTACACACACCACATTAAGCATGTTAAAACTTAGTTTTGCCTGGTTTTTCCTGGCATTGAAATGTAATTATGAGTTGAATGCCTCTTTTTTTATAGTTTAATATGGGGGTAAATAGCATTAACCATGAAGAATACATTGTTTGAATGAAGCATTTCCACAATTCATACAAAATAAGCTTCCATCAATGCTTCTACATGGACCCCAATAAAAGTACAAAAACAACTTCAATTTCTATTTATTTTTTGTAATGTAAGATTTTGTGTTTCCTGGTGTCTTGTTTTTTTGTAATAATTAAATTCATGTCTTATAATTTTTGTTTTTCAACTGGTATTGTCAATATTTTTTTCATAAATCTTTATTGTCTAGTGTTTGGTCTTTATTTTGTTTCTGTGATCTTGTACTGTCTGATTGACCTTGTATGAATTTCTAGAAAGATTTTTTTGTGGGAGGAGGTGGGGTATTCATCATCTTTCATGTGTATTTTTTCTAATTTAAGACTCTGTTAATCTGTTGTTCCCATACACTGTTTACATACTCTTAATAGTATACTAACCCTCCTGATGGTATTAGCCCTGTCTGTCTGTCCCTTCCATTCTTTGTCAACATACTTTGTTATGTGCACTCTATCACAAATCTGTACAATTCCTAGTGAATATATATATATATAAATATACATTTATATATTACATATCTAGACATAATAGCATGAATTTCTGGTTAATAAAGAACATTGTTACTTAATGGAGCATTTAAAAGTGGCATGATGTCAAGCATCAAACAGCAAAGATTTCAACAGAACCTATATCACCTTTGAACAGGTTCAGATGTATAAGTATTTAAAAAAAAATGCTTTTTACTTCTAATTTCAATCTAAATTAACTGAATTTGTAACCATCTTTCTCTGTTGTAATACAAACTGTCAACATATTGACCAGAATTTGTTCGCTTCATTGCCCATGACTGCTCATAATTCATCTTGTTAAATTGATTTTTACAATATTTTAAGACCTTATCTACATCATTGTGTACATGTATGAAATTGACAAATTAAAGTTACTAGAGAAAAAACTTATTTTAAATTGTCAGCATTGTAAACATATATATAATACTCAGTAAGATAGAAGATAAATGTCCAATCCGAAAATAAACAATGCAATTAAAAAATCTTACTTTTAATAAATTAAAATAAAATTCAAACAGACTAACTGTTTGAATTATCTTATCCTCTAGATGTCTTTTGTTGTTTTTTGTGTTGTTAATGTTATTGGGTTGCTGTCTCATTGACCATTATCACACCCCCTTTAGTCATATGTAATGGTAATCAAATTAAGTTTGTAATCCCGTGAGAACAATTATACTTTACCATTATTATTAGCTTCCTGTTTTCCATTGCAATAATTCTCTTCCTTTATTCCGTTTGACTTTTGACCCTGACTCTGACTAGAATCTCTTGCACTCTCATATAAACTACTTGAAGATGCCTCAGATGACATTTTAATACTGGATTTACTGTTTAACTGTGAAGACTCTTTAGCTGAGGAACTTGATGTAGCAGTCTCACCATCCATGTGTGATGAATCCTTTGCAGAGGACGAAAAATTTAACTTTGAATGTGAAGGACTGTCTGAAAAATCCTCTTTTGGCCAATCACTTAGATTAACTTCAAAGCATTCATCAGTAGATATATTATCTAATGTGCCATCTTTTTCAACATCTGATTCCATCGGACTTTCAAAGCTAAATCCATTATTTGTGTCCTTACTGAATAATTTTGAATGAAATTTATTTCTTAAAGAGTTTCCTGGTTCACTACATCTACGACTGCTTGGTGTATTTTTGTTGGAATTATCACCATGTAACCCCTCTGAGTCCCACGACAGATCAGGTACATCCAAACTGCCATTACAAGCAGGAGAGCTATCTGTACTACTAACAGACAAACTACGAGATCGACTCAGTCTATTTCTAGTTTTATCTACAATTTCTACAGCTTTCTTGGCTAATGGATGACTTGGGGAATATTCTATGCTACTGCTATCACTTTGTAAAGCTATGTTCTTTAATTGATTTAATTTATTGGTCAGACTAGCAAACTCTTCCTCAATGTCTACTACCTCTTCCTCCAATTGATAGAATTGGTCCTCTGTAGAACGTCCTACTTCATAAACAGAGCTGAACATTTCATTGTCTGGTGTTGCCAATCCTGACAGGCTTTCGGATTCAATACTGTACTTACGGTATCTAGCATACGGAGAAAATTCTGGTGATGAATCTAAAGACGATGAATTACTGGATCCAGCACCATTATGACATTCCTGTAAACGATAAAGTAAAGATTCACGGAAGAATCGATCGGGGGACCTGAGTTTGGGTAAAGAGGAAACTGAATCTTTTTCATCGCAACTACCTGATTCATCGGCATTGGACACCCGACAATCATCCGTACCTGACTTTTTGGAGTCTGTGTTGTAATCTGAACTATAGGAAGACAAAGGTTGCTGCAGAATATTGGTTTTATTATGATTTATCTGAGTGCCTTGATACCTATCTTGACCATCATCCTCTGATGGTGGTGTTAGTAACACACTACTGACCGTCAGTAAATCATCAGATAGTTCTATATGGTATCTGTTATTACTAGTCTTACTATCACAGTTTTCTTTATGAGATAAATCTTCAATTTCTACTTGTATATTAGCCTCTTTGTCAGGAGCACCTGTTGAATCAGGTAAATGGCTAATTAAATCATCTGATAACTGTGCTGCATGGTTTGCATGTCTTAGTGATTCTCTCATGTTTCTATCAGTCAGGGACTGCAGACTAACATTGGCTTTAAGTGACCCTTCTAGATCTAGGTTTGAGACATCCGAGGCAGAATGAACTAATTGGTTAATACTAAGTTCACTTTGACTAGAAGGTACTTTGATTGGCAATGATCTTGTTAGGTCTTTATCTGAGGAGGTCTTCCTTCTTTTTACCTTCTTTCTCTGTCTGACATGTGAAGATTCTGTTTGTATTTTGAGATTGTCCCTGCTACGAGATTTTCTTCCAACATGTAAAGCTACACCTGTGGTAGGACTGAAATAAGCTGAGGTTTCTGCTTTATTGGAGTTAGAATTTCCCATACTTGTTTCACATTTTGTTCCATCAATTTCCTGAAAATAAAATCGACAAATATTACTTTTCTTAAGGGATACACTATTTTTAATATACAAAATCCTATAGCCTTCAAAGTTCTCATAACATGCATAGAGTATGATTTGATACTGTAAAGTAATGTTTTTGTTATTGGAAAAAATTGACTGGATTGGTTTTGCAAAAAATAAAAACTCTCGTTTTAAATTTTGATAACATTATTTGATATACAACAATTTCCTGAAATCACAATAACTAATCTGACATTTTTGTCCATTGTTTAAACATCACAATGATAATGCAAAAAAAAAAAATTCTGAATTTATAGTACACTACTGTTAATAATCATTAGTACTTTTTTTTAAAAAGTTTTATATCTAACTTAAATAAAATCAGAACTTTGAGTCTTCAGTACCTTTAAATTTATAATAAGATGAAAAATTATGTGAAACAACAATTTTCTTTTTCCTATTTTTTTATTTCCGAGTATTGCTTTTGGTTTCATATTATAAATCACACATATATTTATGTTTACATAATCTCTGACAACCATCTTAAACTTCCGGATAAAAACTTGGTAAACAACATTTTCTCAGAAACCAAGAAGTTTTATCTTCAATGAATTGTTTGTTTTCACCAATGAATCTTTGAACTGTTCAGTGTAGGGTTAGTTTACATGATAAATGACATGACATACACTGTCCTTTAGTTCACAGGTTTACAAAAACATTCCCATTTTGGGAGTTCTTTGGCATAATCTTTAGTTTATACTGTTCACTGTTGGAATACATCTTTTTCTTGTTTATCTTGTACCATGGTTATAGTTTTTTGGGTCTCTTTGGTTTTATATTTGCGATTTCACTCCTGAAATAACTGGTTCAATACATTCTACCTTATTATTGTATACCATAGCTGTCTTAAAATGTATTTACACTTACTTAATAAACAACTGAAATACCTTTAAAGATTATCTTTGGTTATAATCCATGCACATGTACAAATGTATACATAATATATGTATAGAAACCTTTATTTCAATGTAATTATTGTAGCGTATTAAATTCTCATCTCAAGAATGCTCACATGTACAAATACACGATGTCTCCAAGATAATTTATATGAACATTTTCTCAGGATAAATTTTAACCTTTAAATTAATGTGAATGCATGTGAAAATTAGTACCTGACTACCAAACAAAGGCCATTAATTGTTATTTTAATATGTCATTAAGCTTTAAAAATTCACAAATCTGAAGTTTTTGAAGAGTGATAAGATAAAACCTACCCTTAAGCCATTGATCTGTATAATATAAATGATTACACAAGATCAATTTATCATTTTCATTCTCGTGACAAGCAGAATCTTTAGATGTCATTATAAAATATTGACTAGGTACACTTCCTGTTGTTTACCGAAGGGAGCTAACTCTAGAAAAACTTCAGAAAATTGGGGATGTTTCAAAATAAATAAGACAATATTATTTCCAACATTCAGAGTGGTTACTTATCATCACTTTAATGTGTTGCACATCACTAGTGCTGTATTAATTATATAGTGCTGTATTAATATTATATAGCGCTGTATTAATATTATATAGTGCTGTATTAATATTATATAGTGCTGTATTAATATTATATAGTGCTGTATTAATTATATAGTGCTGTATTAATATTATATAGTGCTGTATTAATTATATAGTGCTGTATTAATTATATAGTGCTGTATTAATATTATATAGTGCTGTATTAATTATATAGTGCTTAATTATATAGTGCTGTATTAATTATATAGTGCTGTATTAATATTATATAGTGCTGTATTAATTATATAGTGCTGTATTAATATTATATAGTGCTGTATTAATTATATAGTGCTGTATTAATTATATAGTGCTGTATTAATATTATATAGTGCTGTATTAATTATATAGTGCTGTATTAATTATATAGTGCTGTATTAATATTATATAGTGCTGTATTAATATTATATAGTGCTGTATTAATATTATATAGTGCTGTATTTATATTATATAGTGCACTATTAATTATAATGTTAATAATTCTTATACATCACACAAGTATATAAATATTGTGTTAGAGTCAACATTAATGAGAAGGTAACTAAGCAACACAATATTCTAGAAAGGACATACAGAGTGCAATATATGGCATTTAACGTTAGACAAGTGTCTATACTATACAGTCAAGCTAAATCTCCCAGAGTCTCAAACTTAACAGAATCAGATGCTACCACAGTAGGCCATACAAACCCAATTTCAGGTATTTTTTGTTTGTTTCATAATTAATACTTGTTTTTATCAATATCAAATTTTGATTACCTGTGAACCATTCCTCTTCTGAGATTTTTTCTTTTTTAGTGATTTCTTGAACAGCGGTTGTATAAATCTACAGTACAGTCTGTATAGAATGAAGCCACCAAGTCCAAATGTTATACCAACAGCACAGATCACTGTCGCTGACTTGGCTGAAAAAGAAAAAGTGTCCAAATGTTATACCAACAGCACAGATCACTGTCGCTGACTTGGCTGAAAAAGAAAAAGTGTCCAAATTTTATACCAACAGCACAGATCACTGTTGCTGACTTTTGGCTGAAAAAGAAAAAGTGTCCAAATGTTATACCAACAGCACAGATCACTGTCGCTGACTTGGCTGAAAAAGAAAAAGTTTCCAAATTTTATACCAACAGCACGGATCACTGTCGCTGACTTGGCTGAAAAAGAAAAAGTGTCCAAATGTTATACCAACAGCACAGATCACTGTCGCTGACTTGGCTGAAAAAGAAAAAGTGTCCAAATGTTATACCAACAGCACAAATAACTGACTTGCTTGAATTATATGATTAACAAAAGCACACCTTTCAGTCTTAATTAACATTTTAATTCGCTACGGAGATTCCTTATATCATCAAGTTATTGGAATTCCAATGGGGACTAACTGTGCACTACTTATTGCGCACCTGTTTCTGTATTGTTATGAGTTACAATTTTTGACTAAAATCAGCAAAGACCCATCGAAACAACATCTGATACAAAAATTTAAAAACATTTTTAGATATTTGTATGATATATTGGCTCTCAATAATGACGACTTCAGTATGAGTATGTACACTAAAGATATTTATCCTGCTGAACTGACTTTAAATAAAGCTAATACTAACAGTGTGAACACTGCCCTTTCCTGGGTCTTGATATCTATATCTTTAACGGGAAGCTTAATACCAAAGTTTACGATAAAAGAGATGATTTTTCATTTCCTATTGTTAATTATCTATTTTTAGATGGTGACATTCCCTTGAATATATAAAATTCTAAAATATGAATGGTGGTCATTCCCTTGGAATATATAAAATCCTAAAATATTTGTGAGCAAAAATAAAAATGGAGGTGCACAATGGCATTTATGTGAGGAAGATTTTAAGAAAATTCCATGAACTTTGATTTGGGGTTCAGGAGAGGGGAATGTGTACATGATTTGCTGAAGGATAAACCATGAAAAAGAGTTCAACTTTAATGAAGGACAATTATCTACAATATGACACTGTATGACAAACAGTATTTGACACATGTTACATATTTTACAGTGAAAACCTTCTATGGACAGAATAAATATGAATATTACCAACACCTTTTACAAACCTAGCATAAATCTGCCCATTAACCAGCAGGTCTATAGCACATGCCAAGTGTACAATTTTTTTAATTTATAATTGACACTAAATATCAAATTTTATAATCAATAAGGTAAAGTCATGGCAGTTATCAAACATATTAAAATGATTTGACTATAATATTACTCCATATTATATAATGACAACATGTTGCATTTCTTTATTTGACTTTATATAAACATTGATCAATAGACCATTATACAACAATCAAATATATTTTATTGTATATATTTCAAAATTGATTAAAAGTCATGGTCTGTGTATTTTCATTTTAGGGTATATAAGTAGATAATATAAAATTATCAAACTATAAATAAGTGTACAACTTTGTAGCATTTATTTTTCTGAATAATACGAAATTATCATTTTTACCAAAAATCAGCAAGAGCCTAGAAAAGATTTAAAAAAAGATAATAGCATACCGTAGTAGTCAGGACAATAAATAACAGCATATTTGTTTTTTTTTTCATTGTTTCGTACATAAATCAGGTCGTTTTAAGTTTTCTCCTTTGAATTGTGTTACATTTGCCATTTCAGGGCCTTTTACATCTGACTATGTGGTATGGGTTATTGCTCATTGTTGAAGGCTATACGGGGACTTATAGTTATAAACTTTTATGTCATTTGATCTCTAGTGGAGAGTCATCTCACAAATTTGTTTTTTGTTCATTGTTTTGTACATAAATCAGGCTGTTAGTTTTCTCGTTTGAATTGTTTTACATTTGTCAATTCAGGGCCTTTTATAGTGGACTATGCAGTATGGGGTTTGCTCATTGTTGAAGGTAGTACAGTGACCTATAGTTGTAAACTTCTATGTCATATGGTCTCTGGTGGAGAGTTGGCAATCATACCACATCTTCTTATTTTCATAGATAAGGTATTATTATTCAAAATGGTGCATGTATCACCAAAGTGTGATTTGAGAAAGGAAGATCAATAAATCAGGAAAGATGATGTTAGGTAAAAGTCAGACAGACCTAAAAGAATGATCAATGAACCATGAAAGAAGTCAGAGTCTTGATTCTGTCAGATAGTACTAGACAGACATGTAAACTATAGTCCAAATACATTTCTCCTAGTACTTACAGTAACATAGACATGTTAGACATTGGACAACCATAATGTTAATCAATGAATGACTAAAATAAACAGTGGCTGATGAGTATTTTAACCTCACAATGATTTTACAGACCAAATATGGGTGAGATTTTACTATAGTAACTGATGAGATCAATTATTCAATAAAACTAAGCAATTTATTTCCTTACAAAACAATACAAAGAGGTCAAGGACAAGGACAATGTATATATAAACCAAATGGGAAATTTAGTCTTAATGATCATACTGTATTAAGATATGAATGATAAATCTGTTTATCTATTAAAATAAAAAGCTTTATGCACACAGGTTACCCCATTACATTTATGCTACTCAGAAACCACTGCAGGACTTTCATACATTTACAATATACCTTAGGTCTTAAAAAATCACATGTTTCCCCTAAGCCTACCTACCCTAAAGATGTTTTTGTCATTTTTGAACAAGCACTAAAGTCAGACTGTTTTCTCTGTTTAAACCAGTCAAAAACTTGTTGAAAACTAAAATTAATTGCCTCACTACCTACCCTTACTTTTACAGCATGTTGGCAGAAACACAATTATGATTTTTTAGACCTTATTTACACTCAGCACCTTTTATCATAAGCAAGACAAGAATATGCTGTCATTTCGGGGCCTTTTATAGCTGACTATGCGGTATGGGCTTTGCTCATTGTTGAAGGCTGTACAGTGACCTATAGTTGTTAATTTCTGTGTCATTTGTTCTCTTGTGGAGAGTTGTCTCATTGGCAATCATACCACATCTTCTTTTTATACTTATAATATCCTCACAACTCATTATAAATTTGCCTTAAAACTTTTTTGCAACTGTAAAGTTACCGTTGTGAAAATTTAATAACAATGTTGAGGCAAAACTTAGATTGAAAAGGTATATGACCTCATTATCTTTTGGCAATCATGTTGATAACAATTACTCAAAATAATAGAAAGAGAATTCCAATATTAGCCTTGACAGTATTCTTTGTATTAATGTATTGTCAGATGTCTTTTTCTATAATGTATATTTCTTTGTTTTGATAGAAACCGTATCTCACCTGTCAAATGAACAATATCATCAGGAGTATACAACACTTCCCCCACAAAACAGAAACATAGGTCCTCATAAAAGTTGACATCAATATCCATATTATCAAACAACACGTACATGTTTTACAACAATCCTAGAGTTTTACATTCTGACAATGTTTGAAAGTCCAGTTGGTCCTAAGACCTATATATGGCCATGTTTTCCATTTAATTGTTTTACTATTCTTCTGGTTTTCTTGAGCCATTTAATTTTATACCACAATGTTTTCATATTATCCAAAGAAATATAATATCTGCATGAATGACATCAAACAGACCTAATTACAGTAACACATCATGGAATTTAATTCATTTTCTTCTTGTTCGTGTAACAAATAAATATCAATATAAACATAGGATCATCATAAATACATGTGGTTTCCCTTGATACCCCTCTTAAAACACAATCAAGGTTTGCACATTTCTAGACAAATTCACAAATGAAGATGTATGTGTAGATATATACTGAGCCTGTAAAAATAAACTACAAAGAAACCAGCTGTTGGCAACTAAGATGTAAAACTTGCATCTTGGTATTTAACATGTTTAAGTGCAAACTAAGGTACATACATGAAAATTATTTTTACTTATCATGTGTGTAATCACATCTGAAGCTTATTTCAGTGACTGCATAAAATCTAAGTAACTTTAACTTTGAACTAAATGTTATTCTATTCAAAGTTGTTCTAGAGCCTTGAGCCATAAAAATTCTGATGTACTGTAATAAAAGATCAGGGTTCAAATGTCGCTCGCCAATGGACATATGTTATTTTTTTGAGGGAAATACCTCCTAATATTTTTTGGGGTTCTTTTAAATTTGTCATCAAAATATGATTATAGATCTAGTTGGAGACCTAATGCTGATATAAATAAACCTTTGAATATTTATAAATTTCATAAAAATCTTAAATTTGTTTTGGGGTGATAGTTCTGGCAATGCTATGTTCAATATAAAATATATATTTTAAAAAAAACGAAAGAAATAAAAATTACTAAATTTATCAAGACATTACTGTATAAATTTAATAAAATCTAACAAGAAATGTAACCTTAAGAGTGGATACAATGCAATTTTCCATGGAACCAAGGGACATAACTCTTGTAAAATAATTGATCAGTGCTGATAGTCAAACTCATCCAAGACATTACAGATATATCAAACCTTTGATATAAATTTCATAAAAATTTTACAAGAATCATATGTGTGGTAGTGCTTTCAAAGCCGAACAAAGGGACAGACTAACATTCAGACAAAACTTTATTGCCGTGTATTTCTATGTCCCTCCACTGTACGGCAGCAGGGGACAAAAAGCAGAGACTTGGTTTTAAGTCACTTTTCATTGTTAATTTTTAATTTATGTACATGTACACCACACATCTCCTTTTTTCAGGGTTCATTGTTTATTTAGTTTAGGTTGTATTGTTTGGTTGCTGTCTTATTGATGTTCACCCCACATCTTTAAAACAGAAATGAAAAATACATTTTGAGTTTGATTTGTTGATTTAATATTGAGTAGCTAATTATTCAACAACCAACACAGTCATGTTCACTTGAAAATCAAAATAACCAAGTACGGTAGTTACTTTGTACTTTGTCTACGTTTAATAATCTTT